GCTGGAGAGCAAATGTTTTGAGAATGATGGAGGGCAGTGAATGTACAAATGTGCTTTACACAATTGATGTATGTATGGATTGTGTTAAGGTTGTATGAGCCCCTAATAAAACGATTTTTTAAAAAAATTTAAAAAGATCATTTTATTTGGAGTGCTTACAGCTCTTATAACATCCCTTACATCAATTGTATCAAGCATATTTGTACATATGTTGCCATTATCATTTTCTAAACATTTACTTTCTACTTGAGCCCTTGGTATAAGCTCCTTTTTTTCCTTCCCTCCCCCCTCGTGACCTCTTGATAAATGAAAATTTATTATTATTTTCATATCTTACACCTAATGCTGTCTCCTTTTACCCAGGTTTCTGTTGTTCTTCCCCCTGGGGGTGGGGTATGTGTTGATCAGTTCCCCCTTCATTTCCTCCTTCCTCCACCTCCCTGCTACCCTCCTGGTATTGCTACTCCCATTCTGTTTCTGAGGAGTTTATGTGACCTGGATTCCATGTGTCGTGAGCTCTTACCTGTACTAGTGCTCATGCTCCGGTGTAGCCAGAACTGAAAAGCAGGACTGGGCTCATGATAGTGGGGGTGAGGAAGCCTCAAAGAACCAGAGGAATATTGTGTGTTTCATCAGTGCTATACTGCGTCCTGGCTGACTCATCCCTTCCTTGTACCCTTCCGAAAGGGGGTGTCCTATTGTCTACAGATGGGTTTGGGGTCTCTGCTCTGACCCCACTAGTTCTCAACAATATGTTGGGTTTTTCTGTTTTGTTTGGGTCTTCCGGTGCCTGTTACCTGATCCCATTGACACCTCATGATCACACAGGCTGGTGTGCTTCTTCCATGTGGGCTGTTGCTTCTCAGCTAGATGGCTGCTAGTTTAATTTCAAGCCTTGAAGACCCCAGATGCTATATCTTTTGATAGCCAGGCACTATCAGCTTTCTTCACATTTGCTTATGCACCCATTTTGTCTTCAGCGATTGTGTCAGGAAGGTGAGCATCACAGAATGAATGCCAGGTTGTTAGAACAAAGTGTTCTTGTGTTGAGGGAGGGCTTGAGCACAGGCGTAGAGGCCGAAAGTCCATCCACTACCTCAATGTATTGCCATATAAATATATGTACATAGGCTAATATCTCTACTTTTATGAATTAATATATTTAAGTGCCCATTGATGTTTATACCTTTATCCATAGCTTTGCTTCCTAGATCTTTCCTGTTTCCTTTTACCTTCCTCCTGCCCCACCATCACGCTTGTCTTTCTTCTACCTCTTAGTCATTCATTTCAGCTAGATTGCTGTCAGCAACAACATTTCATCCTGGATTGTGGGCTATTGAACAAAAATATTTGATTGCCAGGGATGTCCTAAGTAATTTTATTTTATTTCTGAAAAGGGGGTGGTAGGCCAAATAAGTCTGGCATCTTATTCTCTAGATCCTTTTCATGAAAGAGAATTTCTATAGCCATGATTGATTGATGTCCCACCATTTAGCTATTTCATCACGTGCATCTCAGAGTCCTAGAGGAGGCCTGGTTCGAACCCAGCAGCCACCCCATGGGGAAGTGGATGGATTCTGCTCCTGTCATGAACTTAGCCTTGGAAACGCTGTGTTGCACAGGCTGCTATGAGTTGGAATAAACTGGATGGGAATGGGCTTATCTCAGTCAGTGATAAAGAAACCTTGATATTTGGACTCATTCCCCCACTCCTTTTTTTGGGGTGGGGGTGGGGGAAGTGCATTCCTCTAGTCAGAGAATGGGTTCCACAGCCAGACATTTGCTGATCACAATCCACGGTTGGATGTTTTTGTTGAAATTCTCAAACACGTGAAGTGTAAGGCAATCTCTGTTGCTTGACTAAGCAGGGCTGTGCTGACCTCGCCTTAAATCCTGGCTTCGGAGCAGGCTTTCCGGCGACCTTCCATTATTCTTGGATGTCTTCCGCACCACGTGTGGGTTTTTGTATCACGTTCTTTCTCCCGAGCCAGCTTGCTCGAATCCTTTCCCAAAGTCAATTTCATACTGATTTCCCAAGCTCTTGAATAGGCTTATGTAATCTGTGAAGCCTGGACTTTATGGTTCAGTTCAGGTTTTATTATGCATCAATAAGGGAAAAAAGACCACAGTTTTGCTGTTGTTAGGTGCTATTGAGAGCCAGTTTCGACTTATCTAGTGACATTGTCCCACCGAGTGAAGCGCTGCTTGGTACCGAGCCATTCCCACAATTGTGGCTATGCTTGAGCCCCTTCTTGCAGCCATGGTGCCAGTCCATGTTGCTGTGGTCTTCCTCTTTTTAGCGGACCGTCTCCTTTACCAAGCCTTGTGTCCTTTCTAGGGACTGGCCCCTCTGGACCGTATGTGCCTAAGATGGTTTACATACAAGGCTGCCCACCCCAACGTTAGAGGTTTGCATTTATACAGAGACTCCTTGAAAGAAAGGAATTCCAGAAAGTTTTACTTCTGAACTTTAGCACCTTTCTACTCTGAGACACAGGAAGCAGAATCTACTCAGGCGCAACTGATGTGCCCTTCCTATCGTGCTGCCCTCCTCTGCAGGGCACACATCCAGTTCTCTGCCCGTCACATCCTCCTGCAAAGAGGCGGAATCATCTTCAGTTAAACAGTCAGTTCTTCACCTTTAAGCATTCCTGCTTTCTTCTCTGTTCTAACCGTGTGTGTGTGTGTGTGTGTGTGTGTGTGTGTGTGTGTGTGTTGGGGTTTCCCAGCTGTGCCGTGAAAATCCCAGCTGTGCCGTATTGTAGGCTCCCCCCCGCCCCCCCGAAAAGGTCTGTTTTATGCCTCACATTCTTTTTTTTTAAGAGATAAATTGTTTTATTAACCAATCATTGATTATTACCTACAGAGTATGTGTACTTGGTTTTACATGGCGAAAAGGGTTTTTGAGTATTCGTTACACAATTGCTGTATGTGGGAATAATAGTAGCCAATAATAAAGTCAACTCTCTTTCCCACCGACTATCAATTTCTAGATTATAGCACACATGGAACATTGCATTCTAGTTTCTAAGTTTGGCATCAGAAATGTTTATAGCAATACATACGAGCAATCTGATGAGAAGCTAAAATATGTTACAGCAAATAGCTATGAAACCCTAGTATTAGGCTCCTTAGTTTCTCATCATCTATAAACAGCTTCATAAATCATTTGGCAAACCAACCTAGAGGCAAATAACCTGCGTGCCCCAGCCCCATGCCTGCAGTCAACCAATACTGAGAAAGACCAAGCAGCACTAGTTGTGGACAATCACACTGAAGCCTGAAGCTTGTACGCGGCGGGCCTTGGTTCCGGCTGTTTCCTGGCTTGGCCTCGTCAAGTACTGCTTCCTTCAGGATCTTCACTAGGGAATGGAAGCAAGTGTATGTCTGCAGAATCCTCTCCTTCAGCGCTGCAGTCGTTTCTGTGAGGGGCACATTGTGAATATCCATCTAGAGGCATTTACTATGGCTTTTGTTTTTAAGAGATAGCATACCATTTTGTCACTGCAAAGACAAAAGTGACCTCTCAAGGCAGCAAAAGTCACATGGGTAGAATAGTGATGGAAACCCCACAGGAGCCACAGAATCAAAGGTTGTAAATACTCAGCCCGCTTTGTGGCCCATGTGTGCGTGGGAGATGAGCGGGCAGGAGAGAGTGCCTTATGCTCTTTAAAGGTGCATTTCTCAGCAAGCTGCACGATGCATTTGACAAAAGCAATTCCTTGGGGGAGCAAGGGAAGAGCATCCCTTTCAAGAACATGTTGTGGGCTGTGGCAGCTTGTACAAATATTTTTTCTTGCTCATTGCTTTTAAAATGAACTTGTGTTTAGTTCTGCGAGGGGGTCCACTCACTGGAAGCTACCGGCTGCGACAGTTTCACCTCCACTGGGGATGTGCGGATGACCATGGATCCGAGCATGTGGTAGATGGGGTGCGATATGCCTCAGAGGTAAGTCATCGACTGCATCTCCCTGATGCAGGCCTCCAGCACCGTGGGACTTAAGGGACACTGGAGACTCTTCTGTTGGTGCTAGCTGGCAAGCATTGAACTGCTAACTGCAAGGTCAGTGGTTCAAACCCACCAGCCACTCTTCAGGAGAAAGATGAGACCAGCTGCTCTCATAAAGATTTACAGCCTTGGAAACCCTCTGTAGGGTTGCTATGAGTTGGAATCCACCAGATGGCAATGGGCGTGGCTTTGCTTTTAGGGGAATACCCTAGTGGTCCAGTGCTCAATCCTTGATTGCTCCCCAAAAGGCCGGAGAGCGAACGCTGTCTGTGGTAGTCTGCTTCCCTAAAGATGACAGCCTTGGGAAGGCGATGGCTGTGAACTTGAATCTACTCAATGCAACACGGTCTGGTCTTCATTTAGGAAGAGCTCCCTGAACCCCAAACAGATCACTGAGCTAATTTAGGTGTCACAGCGTCACGGTTCCTTTCTTCATTCAGTAAGCATGGTCATGCCAACTCAGCCCCAGGGCTCTTGCCATTTCAGAAATTTTTAAACTGGAGACTAGGTGAGATGAAGTCATTTATCCAGCTAGGAAATAGTTGGTCAGTTTGATACCAAATTATGTCACACAAATTATGAATTATGTTAAGATACTGTTGTATATTCTAGAATACCAGTGAGAAGGGAGGGAAAGAAATATTTGTCTTAGGTCTAGCTGTGTACATATTTGGTCCTGATACAAATATATTCTTTTAAAAAAACCATTTTGTTGGGGACTCATGCAACTCTTAGCACAAGCCATCCATCCATTGTGTCAAGCACATTTGTACATTTGTTGCCATCATCATTCTCAAAATATTTGTTTTCTACTTGAGCTCCTCATTTTTCCCCCTCCCTCCCCGACCCTCACTCCCTCATGAACCCTTGAAAATTTAAAATATATTATTATTTTTTCATGTCTTACACTATCCAATATCTCCCTTTGCCCACTTTTCTGTTGTCTGTCCCCCAGGGAGGGGATTATATGTAGATCATTGTGATATTACCCCTCTCTTCTCCCACCTTCCCCTTACCCTCCTGGCATTGCTAATCTCATTATTGGTTCTGAGGGGTTTATCTGTCCTGTATCCCTGTGTTTCCAGCTATTATCTGTACCAGTGTACATGCTCTGGGCTAGCTGGATTTGTAAGGTAGAATTGGGATCATGATAGTGTGGGTGGGGTGGGGAGGAAGCATTAAAGAACTCGAGGAAAATTTTATGTTTCATCGGTGCTATACTGCACCCTGACTGGCTCGTCTCCTCCCTGCAACCCTTGTGTAAGGGGTTGTCCAATTGCCTACAGATGGTCTTTGGGTTTCCACTCTGCATTCCCTCTCATTCATAATGATATGATTTTTTGATGCCTGATACCTGATCTTATCAACACCTCGTGATCACACAGGCTGGTGTGCTTCTTCCATGTGGGCTTTGTTGCTTCTGAGCTAGATGGTCCCTTGTGTACCTTCAAGCCTTTAAGACCCCAGACGCTATATCTTTTGATAGCTGGGTACCATTTGCTTTCTTCACCACATCTGCTTATGCTACAAATATATTCTAATGTTATATAAAGTCCACACTTAAGCAGGCAATAGCAAATGACAAAGTTTCATTTCTCAGGGGGATAAAAAAGATATGACCTCATCTAAGCTCTAGACTGCCTTTGTATTTACAGGTATAAAATAGAATTTGGAAATTATTTAGGTTATTACTAAAGGGTAACACAATAAACATTTATTGGCCTGCTTTTTTTTTTCACTGAAAGCTACTCCTTTATAATGGTAATTATATTCATTAACTATGTTCTACTTTTTTAATCCTCTAGTTAACAGATAAATAGCAATATGCTTCAAGTTATAATATGATTAAATGTTGCTAATCCCCAATTTTACCATGAGATGAAAGTAATTATTTATTGTATGACTCAACCAAAGTTAATTTAAGTGAAAGTAATTTGGCTTGTAAGTCAAGCAGGCAGGGCAGAGCCATGCTACCAGGTAAAGACTGTTTTTCTTTATTTTTTTGTCTTGTTTGTGCCCTGCAGTTACACAGCTCAGCTCTTGAGAGAAATCCAGGGAGTGGGAGTTCTTTCAGATTTTACTTTTCCATTGACATGTATAGAGGCCCTTGAAGGCTTTCCTTTTTTCTTTTTGAGACCAACTGTATTAAAGCATTAGAACCTACCCTGCTGGGTTAGGCAGTGTTCTCTAGAGAAGAGTGGGCAAGTCCCGTCTAAGCCTAGGCAGATGACAAGTTCATGGGGCACATCCTAAGCTGAAGGCTTCTCTTGATTCACATAACCTTGGAGGCTGATGAGTCCAAGATCAGCAGGCACACCACAGATTGGTGGCTGCAGGGGCAGAATCACATCCAGGTTTGTGCCTGGAGAGCCAAATGAATTCAAGATTGGCAGGTCAGATGGCAGGCAGGCTGCTGATGGCTCCCAGGATCAGCAAGCAATATGACTGGCCATTGGCTCAAGTCCAAAGACCCTTAGGTCCCTGAGCCAGATGCAGGATTCAGACCCAGCAAAAAGCACATAAACATCATCACAGCATGTACTTGTACAGGCCATGTGCCTCCCCCAACCCAACCCCAGAAAACTTCCTTTGGGGTTCATCAGGGCTGTGACCTGAGTAAAGGGTTCTCATTCCACCTCCAATCTTCATGGCAGATCCCACTATGGAGTTGATTACGTCGTGTTAGGTCATATCATGGGAGATTACTAGGCCTTAATTGCCAAATAACTGGGAATCCTGGCCCAGCCAAGTTGACACAAAATCTCACTATCCCACCTATTCTCAGGATGGATGAATAGAAGGTACATGAAGTATTCCAGGATGGGAAACCGAAGACATTAGGGATGTAGAATGAGGGACTTCTTATGTTTTTAAAATTATTTAAGCTATAGTTCCAAAATGGATTCTACTGAAGCAAGAGTGAACATGGTAGACAGATTGAAGGTTTCAGGGGCAGTTCAAATGATGGATGATGGAGGCTTGAACTATAGTGCAGGTGTTGGACTGGATGGGTAGATATGACATCTCCAAACGGAGGTTTCTTATTTTATAGAGAAGATGCTGATGGAAGAGGTTGAGGGAGTGTCGGGGGTAGGCATTAAACACGTAAGTGGGAAGTGCTGTAAAGGAAATACTATCACACGATCTGGTAGGGAATGCCTGGATGGTTAGGAGAGGCCTCTTGGTGATGTTGCTTGAATTGAGATTGAATGACAAGAAGCCCTGGGAAAACTGACGGAGCATTTTCTAGGAAGTGGGATCCACAAGTACAAAAGGTGCGGGACAGAAATGAGGTGGCCATCTATGGCTATACCACCCTGAACGCGCCCGATCTCATCTGATCTTGGAAGAAATGAGGTGGCCGTCTACAGTCATACCACCCTGAATGTGCCCGATCTCGTCTGATCTCAGGAGAAATGAGGTGGCCGTGTTCAAGAAGAGACACATGTTGGCCTAAGAGATTGTAACTTAATCAGAGAGCAGAGGGGATAGGAGGTGTCCTAGAGAGTCAGACAGTGACCACGTCCCATCATGTGTTGTGGATAATGGTGAGATGTTTGGATTTTCTTCCTAATGTAGTGGGAAGAAGATAAGGGAGATTTCAAATAGGGGAATCATGCATTCTACATTATATTTTGTAATTCCTGACTACTATGTGAAGAAAATATTCTCAAGAGCAAATGTTGAACAGGGAGGTAAATGAGAGGTTATGGAAGTTGCCCATGTGGGAGATGACGGTGCTTTGGAATATGAGAGTGGTGAAGATGAGCAGATCTTGGCAGATCTGTGACATATTTGGGAAGTAAAGCCAATGGCTCTGGCCAAAGGAAAGGATGTCAGGAGTGAAGAAAGGCATATTTTACAAATTAATATGAGTTTATCTTTTCCAACAAAGAAAAAGAAGAAGAAAGGAAGGAAAAATAATTCATGCATGCTTTTCCCATAATACACATTTTCCATGCACTTTTTGGAGACTCCTATTATAACCCAATAACAGTTTCAGCCTCTCAAGTTTCTTGGGAACCTGCTGGCAGGGACCTGTGTAACTGAAGAGTCTGAAGAAACAGGCCTCACCCCACTGATCGTACCACCAGAGTCCACTTGAGGCATATGTATCAAGATCCATAAAACCTCAAAATTATCTTCCTTGAGATTTCAGCACACGTTGCATTGCTGAAAGCATACAGTGTTAACCAAACATCCAAAGGACCAAATAATTTAATCATGAAAGGGTTAACTCAATTACAAATGCTAAAAGAAAGCTGTTCCCTTGAAGGTATTGATGCCAAACAAGAAATGTATATGGGAGAGAGAAGTAGGTCTTATTTAAACAACAACAACAACAATAAACCCAGACAATCAACCCCAGCAAAAAAATCCAAGATTGTTTCAGCTTGTTGTCCATCATAAATATGTATAACAAGCAGCAGAGGGATATAGGTAAAGTCACCTCTTTAGTTAGGCATTCATGTTCCACTCACTAGTCGGGGTGGTGCCTATTTCTCTCTCTCTGGTGTCCTCTCTTGCTCCGTGTACTGAGGCATGGGCAGCGGGCCATGACAAACAACCTTACCAGCTCCTCCCCTCCTGCGGAATGTCATCCCCTCCTTCGAGCCTAATGAGTCTTTGTTTCATCTTCTGCTATTTTCAGGTTTCTTTCCTCCCCCACCTATCTCACAGTACCTTACATCCTGAGCCCACAGGAATTCACTCTATTTTCCATCTCGATATCCCTCAGTCTTACTTGATTTGGGAATGGTACTGTTTTACAGTTTTGTGGTTCACTGTTAACAATAGCTCTGCTCTCTTGAAATCTCCACCCCTCCTATTAGTTGCCTATCAGATGTCAAATTATGTTTAAAGGACGAGATTAAAAACATGTATTTGAACATGCTGAGTTATTTTGTAACAGCTGAAAACAGACCCCGACCAGTTGAGGTCATGTTGATTCCATCTCCCGGTGGCCCCCGTGTGTCAGGGTAGAGCTGTGCTCCAGAGAGTTTTCGGTGGCTGATTTTTGGAAACTCAAACACCAGGCCTTTCTTTGGAGAGGCTTCTGAGGGAACCGAACCTGCCTCCTTTCTGAGAGCTCGGTTTGTACCAGCCAGGACACCATCTTCCCTCAAAGAGCCTTTGGGGCAGGAGGGCCCACGGAAGCGCTTCTTCTTGGATGTTCCCCAGGGTCATTAGAAAGGGCTTATCTGAAGCCAGTCTCAAATGTGGACTTGTGTGGGTATTGTGACCCGGATGGTACCCTTCCCTGTTTTAATCAAACCTTTTATGTGTGCCACCTGGCCCTTCGCTTCTGCCTTGGTTTATCCGTCCCTTCCCAAAGGCCCTCCTAAAGTGAATTTGCCTAACTGGGGCTATTCTGTAATTTTCGAATTTGCCTGTGTGTTTAGGACACGACTTTGTGTCCTACGCTAGACATTTGGGGCATCTTTGCTTTCTGGATGAGATAAGGAGGCGATGTCAGTTTCCTGGAGCCCCGCCCCTCCCCTCGGGTCGTTCTCTTTTCCTCCTCTTGGGACCTCCGCCTGCCTGCCTTTGCTTCCGCAGCCCACCTTGATTCCCAGACCCCGAACACCCCTTCCCCCATTAAACTTGCTTTCAGCAAGGGAGCTGAACCCAGTCAAGGGAGGTTGTCCGCGTGTGAATCCTGCTTACAAAGTGTGCTCTGGATGAGAATTTGCCTTTTCAAGCAAGAGAAGTCGTTATAGCTGTGATTTCCACTCGCTGGGAAGCTGCCAGAAGGGCTAGTCCTATCACATGAACCCCGAAAACCCGCCGCGTTGCCGCTGCTGCGCACCAGTGGGTCGTTTCCGACCCGTCACGGGCCTGCCTGTTGGACAGGGCTGCGCGACCAGAGGGTCTCCGAGGCTGTGATCTTGACCCCAGCAGGTGACCAGGTCTGGGCGCCTACAAAGCCATGGGGGGTCGGACCTGCTGAGCACGTAACCACTGCGCCACAGGGCCCCTTACTGAATTCTCCACCTTTCTGTGGCCTGAGCTTGGTTCCTGGATCCTGCGCTCACCTGATGAACTACAGTGGCATCTCTGAGGACGGCCCGGAGGAGCCTAGATTTTGACAGTGGCCAGCAACTGAGACTGACTGCTCTGGCCCAAAGGAAACCGAACCCCAAACTCACTGCCATCGAGTCCATGCTATGACCCAATAGGACAGGGTAGAACTGCCTCTGTCGGTTTCCAAGACTATAACTCTATATTTTATTAAAAGATTATTTTATTGGGGGCTCTTACAGCTCTTATAGCACTCCATACATTGATTGTATCAAGCATATTTGTACCTCTGTTGCCATCCTTATTTTCTAAATATTTACTTTCCTTTTAAAAAATCATTTTATTGGGGGCTTGTACAACTCTTATCACATTCCTTACATACATCCATTGTGTCAAGCACATATGTACATTGTTGCCATCATCATTCTCAAAATATTTGCTTTATACTTGAGCCTTTGGTATCAGCTCCTCATTTTTTTCCCTTTCCCCCTCCCTCCCTCACAAAACCTTGATAATTTAAAAATTATTATTATTTTTTCATGTCTTACACTGTCCGACGTCTCCCTTCACCTGGTGGGAGAGAAAGGGGGAACTGATCACCATGATCTACCTATAACTCTTCCCTGGGGGACGAACATTTACTTTCTGTTGATCCCTTGGTACCAGCCCCCCGCCGTGTGACCCCTTGATAAATTATAAATGATTATTTTCATATCTTACACCTGCCGCTGTCTCTCTTCCCCCATGGTTTCTGTTGTTTGTCTCCCTGGTGTGTGTGTGTGTGTGTGTGTGTTTATATATCCATCATTATGATCGGTTCCCCCTTCCTCCTTTCCTCTCCCCATCTTCCCCCTCCCCTCCTGGTATCGCTACTCCCATTCTTCTTCCTGGAACCCATGTGTCATAAGCTCTGATCTCTTTTCTGTACCTGTGCACACGCTCTAGTCTAACCCGCAGTGAGAGGCAGGACTGGGGTCATGATAGTGGGGAGGGTGAGGAAGCCTCAAGGTACCAGAGGAATATTGTGTGTTTTATCAATGCTATACTGCATACTGGTTGACTCCTCCCTTCCTTGAGGGTGTAACTCTTTACTGGAGTAGAAAGCCCCATCTTTTTCCCACAGAGGGGCTGGTGGTTTTGAACTGCTGACCTTAGCAGCCCAACAATTAACCTCTACCACACCAGGGTTCCTGGTAGGGGCTAGGGTGTTCTAAATCATGATGTAGGCTTTAGTAAATTATGCCACAGACTAGCCAGGTGACCACAATCCTTCACTTGTTCTTTCTTGTGTGTTTTTAAAAATTATATTGTGTACCTCATTTTCAGCTCCATGTCGTTCATTGGAATTCAGACAAATACCCCAGCTTTGTTGAGGCAGCTCATGCGCCCGATGGACTAGCTGTCTTGGGAGTATTTTTACAGGTATGAATAATTTGATTTCATTTAAACTAATCAGCTGTTTTGGAATAATGAGTTTCAGTTCTGGAACAAGCATTCAATCATTTTGTTAATATTAACTAGTTTTGGGGTTTACGTGTTTTTTTTATTATAACTTATAGGAGGGCCTAGGGCATCATCTTATGCTTTTTTAAATTATCCATTAAGCATTTTGGTATGTATAGTAACAGCAGCAACAAGGACAACAGCAACAATAAGAGCAAACCTAACAACAGAAATCCTGGGGGGAAGGGGGGGCATTTATTCTCAGCCCTTCTTGATTATGCAATATTTAGCAAGATCAGAAAGCATACAGTTCAAGCTCTGATTCTGGAAGCACTAGTTAGCATATAATGACTAGTTTCCATAAATACTGAGTGAAATAACATTTTTTTGTTATTGTATTTCCCGCTGACCCAGGTGGTCAAACAAGTATAGCTGTGGAGGAGTGGCCTGTTCAGCTCCCACTCCAAGCACATTCCTGTAGGGAGTGTGTGTTTGCTATGGCACCACTGCGTGTGTGATGTAACTCCCGGAGCTGGGGCTGGGTGAGGCGTGGGGCAGAGGAAGAGGAGGGAGTAGATCACAATTGGCCCAAGGCTGAGTGGAGGCAGTGAAATGTAGGTGAGAGGGGAGAGAGCTCACTTTAATTGTCCAGTATATAAAAAGTTCAGATTGATTCAGGGCACCCAGGATAATGAAAAGAGTTCTATAGTAAACCTGCAAAAGCCTGAATCTGTAAGGTGGGAGCCTGTCAGGAAAGGAAAACTCAAATGGTTTTCCCCACTAGAGAGCTATGCACAGTGTGGTAAGGCTGCACACACCCTGCCAAAGGCAGAGGGTTTGAGGCACCCGGAAACGTAAGGTAGTCCCTTCGAGGGTCAGCTCTTACAGGGTTCACGGCATATTCTGCTGGAGCGTTCTGCATTTGGGGATCTCAATTTGTTGTAAGGTGAAGTGGGAGCTGCCTTGGCTTAATGTTTTCATGCCGCTATAGCCAGCTTAGGAATCACTGGGTGGTACAAATGGGTAGTTGATGCACCCTGCTGCTAGGCTGGCACATCAAGTCTACACCAAAGTGCCTCAAAAGAAAGACCTGGGAGTATACTTTCGAAAAACCAGTCAAGGATAACTCTACAGAGGACAGTTCGACTGTGACAACACACAGGGTCCCCATGGGTCAGAATTGACTCCATCGTGACTGGAGATAGTGCTCATAGACAGTTTGAACCTAAGGTCTGAGAGTCACGTCTGGCTTAGGAGTGCAGGTATTATGTTGGAGCTTTTTATTCTATGTAAGGTTTCTCTCTCAGTAAGTTATAACTTATCCATTTATAAAGCTGAAAAGCATGAAGCTGCCTCCACTAATATTGGAACCCAATTTGAGAGTTTAGTTGAACTGAGTCCTGCAATATAATCTTGCTGTTCAGATTCTTTTGGGGTGATAAGACCCATGGGTAAAAGAGAGCTTCATTATAGAACAATCACTGTTTGTTAGGGGCCAGGTTAGCTTTCTAAAACTTTAATTAAAAAAATGGTGACGCAAATGGAGCTGTTCAGAGAAAATCAGCTACAGTACCACTTTCTTAAAAAAACAACAACAAAACCATTTTCTTTTGAAATCCCTCCTTTTCAGATTGGTGAACATAATCCTCAACTGCAAAAGATTACTGACATTCTGGATTCCATTAAAGAAAAGGTAAAATTGATTACTATTTACTGGAGCTCTGGTGGCATAGTGGTTCCTTGTTAGGTTGCCATCAGAAAGGTCAGCAGCTCAAAACCACCAGCCACTCCTCGGAAGAAAGACTTGGCTTCCTACTTCCATAAAGACTGATAGTCTCGGAAACACGCAGGGGCAGTTCTCCCCTGCCCTATATGGTTGCTATGAGTCAGCATTGACTCAGAGTCAGTGACTGTTCAGTTCACATCAGGAGCTTGGTGGTACAGGCGGTTATGTGTGGGGCTGCTCCCCAAAGGCCAGCATTTGAACCCACAGCTGTTCCTCAGGGGAAGGGGAAGAAAGCCTTCTGCTCCCAGAACGATATTCATCTTGGAAAACCTTGGCACGCTACTCCGTCCTCTAAGCCCATTTCGAGTTGGAGTCGCCTTGATGGCAATGATTTCACATGGACTGGGCAGTGCTTCATTTTGTTGCACTGACATCCACCATGCGTTAGAACAGACTCACTGGTACCTAACAACAAATGGTTCATGCAGTCCTACGGAGCCCTCACAGTTCACGAATTATGTGCTTGGCCATCAACCATCTGGGAGGTTCAAACCCCACTAGCTACTCTGTCGGGAAAAAATATAGCAGTTGGTAAAGACTGCAGCCCCGGAAACCTGATAGGGCAATTTTATCCCCACCCCCTGATTTTTAAGTTCAGGATCAGGATTTAGGTCTTCCCAGAATTCTGGTTCACCATTCTTTTTCCCCCCCAGTAGTTTTATTGATATAAAATTGACATATCATATACATCCATAGTTTGGTGTATTTAAAAAGAGTTGTACATACACCATCACATCCATTCTAGTGCATCGTCCCCCCAGGACAATTCTATTCTGTTCTATCGGGTTGCTGTGAGTTGGAATTGACTGAAAGGCAACTAGTTAATATATTCTTATGGTTGAGAGGCACTGAGTTAATATAGTCATATGGCTGTTCTTGCCTGAATACATTTACCTTTTCCCCTAAAGTCTAAGGTCTTATACATAAACTTATGCTGCTGCCTTAAACAAGTTTGGAACATACTGGACCAATACTTCAGAAGTGACTCACTGCCATTTTTTGAGAATTAAGTGGGTCTTTAATCATCTAAAATGATTGCTGTTGTTAGCTGCTGGACAGTCACCTGTGACTCATGGAGACTCGTGCCCAGAACTTTGCCAGGTCCTGTGTTGTCTGCATGGCTCGTGGGAGTGAAGCTGTCGCGACCCTGACCCCCAGGGTCATCATTGCTGGTGTTTGGAAGTTGATGTCCATACTTTTCTTCCTAGTCTGTCTTAATCTGGAAGTTCTGCTGAAACTTGTTGGTCATCGTAACAACATGCAATCCTCTGTTGATCACTGGATGGAGGCTGCGCACAGGCACTTTGCCACACATGGAAGACGAGAATTCTGCACTGAGCCATCCATGCTTTCTTATCCAAAATAACCACTAGTAAATGTATTTATGCGTAGTTAGTTTCTGGTGTTGGAATTTTACAGAGTAATTCTTTAATCATGGCACATCTTAAAGAACATTTAGAGTAAAGCAAATTCTGTGTCTCATAAATTTAAATGGTGTGCTATTGTTAATAAAAAAAGACAAATATTAAATAATTCCATGTTGTTTCATTGAATGTCTCTTTCTTGAGGTTTTTGGAAAGCTACACCTTTGTAATTGTGACACTTCTCTTTTCCCTCCAGGGAAAACAAACTCGATTTACAAATTTTGATCCATTGTCTCTGCTTCCTCCCACCTGGGACTACTGGACATATCCTGGCTCCCTCACGGTCCCGCCTCTTCTTGAGAGTGTCACCTGGATCCTTTTAAAGCATCCGATAAACATCAGCTCTCAACAGGTATATTCCCTCTTTTAGCTTGATTCACTGAGAAGAAACCGGGCTGATTCTTTAGTTTGCATTTTAGCCCTTCAGTTTCCTGTGTTTTTCTTTCATTAACTGGGTGGTTGGCTGGCTCAGAGGAGATTTATGTGTCTTTTTTATGTGCACTCTTATCGTGAGCTGATTTCTTCCCCAGTTCTTAGATTTTGAAATTTAATGTGCAATAGACACAGATGAAAGTAGAGCACTGTTTTGGACATCATGATTATTTGCTTTTGCTTTCTTTTGTTTGTACAGTGGCACAATAGGTTGAGGTATGATAGACGCTCCTCTTGGGCATCGTTCTTGTGTTCTTCAGCCCATCCACCTGTCCCTCCCCTGAGTTTACCCTCAGAAAGCAAACAGGGGTCAGATTAGCCTGCCAATCCCTCTTAGCATTAAAGTTTAATAAGTGATCTTTTTACAAGAATTGTAAATCATATAATCCAAATCCAAAGGAGACAATAGTATCAGGGCTTAAATCCTAAGATTCTGATGTGTAGAAGGCTATAGATGACAGTGGAAGCCCAAAATATATTTGGAAGACTTACACAGGGAATAAGCCTTTGGTGATGTCCCTCTAACCATAATTGAGGGATGGGGATAACCTGGTGATCAGACAGAGAGTATTGGAGAGATGATTATAGTCGATTAGAACTGACAAATCTGACTTGAACGGTTAGAACTGTGTCACTTGATATACCTTCTGGTGCACTTTGTACTGATCTGGGTTTTAATATTTTCTGGGTATTTTTTCATGTTGAGGTTTGTTTGTTGTATTTTGCCATTGTTGTGCCCTTCTCAATTCTCTGTCGTGTAGTTTTCTATGTTTCCCAGTCTATGAAACCCAGGATCAGTGAATCTACAGAGGCAATACTAGAATAAGGGTTCCTGGGGGGTATGGTGGAGGAGGTGGGGTAATAAGGGGAGCTGATATCAAGGAGGTCAAGAGGAAGAAAATATTTTGAAACTGATTGTGGTAGCTACTGTATAACGCCACTTGATAAGATTGAACTATAGAGAATGGTATGATGTCTGGATGAGCTCCTAATAAAAGGTTTTTTTTTGGGGGGTCGAATATAAAAGCATAAATATATATATATATATATATATATATATATATATATATATATATATATATATATATGCAGCCAAAAACAAAGTGATCTTTGGCTTTGCAAACAAAAGCTTTGTGGGATGGCTGCGGGGTCTTTAAGCATATGTTGAGAGGCTGTGGGGTGGTCCTGCACTTATTCTAGTGAGACGTTTACTTGGTCCCTACTGGGGGCCAATCCTCTGTCAGCTTTAGGACAGCTCCAGTGCTCAGAAGCTCTGTGCTCGAGTGACCAAGTGATGTTATGTGTCCTGGGTTGTATTTTTATTTCTGTAGGGCCTTTTTCCTACTTTGAAGAGGCTGCTACAGTGTTTTTGCATGGACAGAACCCAAAACCAAACTCACTGTCATCGAGTCAATGCTGACTCGCAGCAATCCCTGTGGGTTTCCGAGACTGTACCTCTTTGCAGGAGGAGAAAGCCCAGTCTTTCTCCTCGGAGCTACTGGTGGTTTTGAACTGCCGACCATGTGTATCACAACACAACATATAACCACTACACTACCAGGGCCCCTTAGCATGGACAGAGTCCCTAAAATCAAAGGCTGGAACTGATTCAATTTACCAAGATCTTGTCAGGTACCATTTCTCCTTAGGGTTTTGAACAACATCAGTTTTCAGTTGGACATTTCTCAGAATTCTCTTGACCTTATCTTTAGCATTCAAGACAAATAGTCATCTGGAGCATGCTTATTAAGACAGTTTAGAAAAGTCTGGATAGAAATCTGTAACTCGATTGACATGAAGATGAATTTCCCTCCCACCATAAATCACATGGGTTGTGTCATGAGAGAAATGACCTGCCTTTGATTCTGTGGCCTGATTAAGCAGGGTGTTGGCTTCCTCCTGTCTGCATGTTTGCTTTTCTGATCCTTTGTTAACTGTTAATAGACTAACAGTAAAAGTTAATAAATTATAACATCAAGGTTGCTAATCAGAGGATAAAGTGTTCTCATATCTCAAGGATATCTTTATTCTTGAAAGCCACTAGGAATAAAATTCTTGTTTTTTAAACCCACCAGTGATTTCAAAGAGGATATTTTAAAATAAATAATTTAACTCCATTAAAAAAACATATATAGTTAATCTGTTAAAAATTACTCCCTGGACCTTAGCAATTATAGTACTTACTGTGGGAGCACGATTGTATCTTACTTGAAGCTCATTTCATATTATAGATGGTTATGTTTTCTATACAGTAAATTATATGAAATATTTACTGCATCGCAGAGGTCCCATATAACTAACCTTTCACTTTGAAGCATTCGCTTAAGTTTGCTGTGGTAAAAACACACTCTGACTTTTTTCATTTCTAACTATATAGAGGTGGTTACCCAGACATTAATCCAAATTATAGTATTAGGATGGTTTTAAATGTCAAAGAAAATGGATATCTTAAAAATCCAACCCCAGTTTAACCATGAGAAGAACATCAGATGCATCCCGTTGAGAGACATTTTACATAACACTGGATCTGATCTCCTTAACATTGACACCAAAGAGAGAGAGAAAGAGAGAGAGAGAGAAATTAAATAGAGGATAGAGGAGGGAAAGTCTGAGAAACTGTCTTCCTCATGGAGGGTTAATGAACATGACTGTTAAGTACAAGCAGGCTTCAGAGATTTGTGGGAAAATGGTATAAAAAGTGATTGGCATTTTCCCACAACTTTTGGAAGCACCCTCAGATAATGTGGTATCTTAGATGAGATACCTGAAAGAGAAAAACACTCATTAAGCAAAAACTAAGGAAATCTAAATAAAGTATGGCCATTAGTTAATAAATGTGTTAAGATTGATTCATTAATTGTAACAAATGCTTCATACTAACATAGGATGTCAATAATAAGAGATGCTCATGTGAAGTTCACAAGAGGTCTTTTTTTCCCCCACAAGAAGTCTTTGTATGATCTTTTCAATAAGCCTGTAAATAAAAATCTGTTAAAAGTTGTTTAAGAAAATCCCAAGCATGAGAGGCATGATAAAATCTTCATTTGCTTAGCTTCCCCCTCAACCCCCAACAGTTTTACTGGCAAGCAATTCATATACCATATAATTCAAGAGTTAAATCATTCCTGGAGAATTGTAGAATCACTCCCACATCAATTTTAGAGCATTATCCCCCAGCTATGGTTAAATCACCTTTAAGGTGATTTATGCGATCACAATCTGTTCTAGTTCCCTCACCCCTCCCATTTTCATTGGTTACTCCCACAATCCCCTTTCCCTCCTATCTTCCCCATCCCTGTTCTCTACACCCCTGTATCTGTTACTGTCATTATGCATGCACCCTCCTGCGCTTCACATCTGGGAGACCCAACAGAAAACCATAAAAACAAAATCACCCTCAGGTGGTAAGGGTGGGTGAAGGGAGACGTTGGACAGGGCAAGATCTGACAAAATACCAATTTATGAACTATCAAGGGCTCATGAGGGAGGGGGCAGCGGGGAGGGAGGGGAAAATGAGGACCTAATGTCCGGGGTTTGAGTGGAAAGAAAATGTTTTGAGAATGATGTACAAATGCACTTTACACAATTGATGTGTGTATGGGTTGTGATAACAGTTGTATGAGCCCCTAATAAAATGTTTAAAAATAAATAAATAAAAGGAAACTTAAAAAAAACAACCAAAAAAAATACTACTAATGTTTAAGAAGGCAACGACTCCCAGCAATAATCAAAAAGCCAGGGAAGACATTTCTGTCATGGAACCGGTAAGAGATACTTGCACCCAGAACAAACTCAGGTATTGCCTGTAGGCTGGTCAACTGGCCACGTACGTTGCCGCGTTTACAATGGTCTCTGCCTGGTGGTGAGGCTGGTCAAGATGCTGGCCTGTGGCTAGAGCTCATCTGCCAGTGGCCCAGTCTGACTGGATGCTCTGCAGGTGGGTTTTGGGCTCTCACCATCCCCCACAGCCCTCCACAAATTGGTGTTCATGATTTTCACTCTGATGACTTCGCTCTTTATATAAAGGAATGGAAACTGTCTTTCATGTGTTCCATGGACTGAGAGTTACTTTCAGAGGGACACTGCCACTCTCAATTTGATAGCTTTTTCTTTTCAAAGTCCTGGAGGACAATTGCTTCTATTCATTTCCCCGATCCCACCTGCCCAGTTTTCTACCATCACCAGCTGTGCAGACAAGTAGCTTCTGTTCCCCAAGTTGGTGCCAGATTTCCCCGGGGGGGTTGCTGTGGCCCTTTCTGCCCAAGATGCTGTTTGGCCTAAAGGGCCAGTCCGATGTGTTTCATTTCCTTTGCTCGATTCAAGTCCGTTTATCTGCCGGGGAGTCAAACATTCACTGTGAAATCCTCGTTGGCCATGCCAGTGGGCAGATCTTCTGTTTTGTGATATGTTGGTAATAGATTGGTCAAGTTCCTCTTACTCACTATCGCCATCTAGTTGATTCGGACTCAGAGTGACCCGATAGGACGGAGCAGTACTGTCCCGGTGAGTTTCTGCGGCTACACATCCCTAAGGGAGCCGAAAGCCTCCTCTTTCTCCTGCATCAGATCATTTCAGTTAGCCTAAGTTGCCTTGCTCGATTTCTGAATTTCATGTGCAAAATACTTGATTTAATTCTTCTTTCTTTAAAAGAAATCCTGCCTGTATTTCTTATGCTATTATTTGCTTATAGTAGCATTCATGAATTGTAAGTGTTTGGTTTATGCTTTGGATCATTGTACACAGCTGTGCAGCCTCCAACATAATTAAGATCTAGATGTAATCCCTTGGCCAGAGGGGTTTGCTGTATGCCTCCCTTTGCCTTTGTCTCCTCAGGGCCCCTGGCACCCACTGACAGACTGTCATTAGAGGTTTATCTTTCTTGTAATTTCCTGAAAATAGAATCTGGCTTGAATTTCAGGC